TGCGCACCCCCTGCACCCTCCCCCTAGATCCGCCCCTGTAATGAACAGAATTGTTTATCCGTATTAAGACGTAGCCAGCTACACTGAAATGTTAAGTCAAAATGTCGCAATATTCTGCAGTAGGAAATTTAGCCATGATATGCGTCAAACGTTTCTCTGCTCTTTTTGGTTTTTTTCCAATACAAATACTTATATTTCGAATGTTACGCAACAATGCCGATGTTCGCCGATGCTCATATTTCGAGCTTGGTCTACCTGTGCACAGACCAGAAACAATCACCCCGAAATAGGCGCAAGGCACGCTGGGAAGATGGTAATATCCTCCTTTCGGCTATTAAACCCAAACGTTTCATCTGGGAAGACCCCTTCCCAAGGTGAGAGCCCATTTTTAGCCCAGCCATTTTTCACAGAAAAGGTACCCCTTGATCTTTGTAAACTATAAAACCAGACAATTTTTTCCGGGGGTGGGGAGGCGTACTTGGTTAAATTTGTGCTGAGTATGTGCCGCTAGCCTCTCAGAGCCCCCACCCCATTATAGTCTATTCTGTGACCAATTATAGACCCCATCTTAGTCACCTTTGGGCAAATATGTAATTTTCGCGATCCCAACTTAGTCACTTTCTATATTTATAAATTGACCCATTTTTTCAACTGAATGAAGAACACTTTACTTTTCACCTACAGTACAAACATTCTAGTACGTTTGCTAACCGTAAATAAGAAGCACTGTCTTACCCCAAGAAATCCGAAAATGTGCGACCCCATTATAGTCAATCCAGTGAAGAAAATGCGACCCCTGAAGCTTAAAAAAACCTTCATATACTTTGATTTGTAGTGTGGATTTTGAAATGGCCTTCTTCCATACTTTCCTCTGGGAAACTCCCATATGAACATGCATACTCCTAACCCTCCCCTCTAGATATACTGCCTACAGTAGAAAACCTTTGGTTATTTTTAGTTATAAGAAGATGTAAGGGGCTCCTACTAAGCTAGTGGCCCAATATTGGAAGTAAATATAAGAGAATGCATCAGGGATAATTTGGGCTCTTCCTCACTGTTCCCACTTCCAAGCATTTAAACAGGTTTGTAAGGTGTGCTCATTTTCGCTATATTTGATTCAATTGAGTTTTTTTTTAAAATATTGTTTGAGGAAGCCTACTATCTATAGGCCTTGCTGGTTTCGCTTGGGCTTCCTCACCATAATTTGGGTTTTAATTTTTAAATAAATAAATTTAAGTTTTGAAATATGGCAAATATAGCAACCTCCATCAAGTGAACTACTGGTAGTGGGGTCTGGGAACTGCTAACAATAAGAGAAACAACAAATCATCTTCAAGGGAAATTCAGGACAGGAATCAGGAGGGGGGTGAATAGGCGAACGGATCGGCAGATTTTGAAAATATTTTTGCCCGGATTTAGGATTCAAAGCGAGATTTTATCGGATTTCCGGATCCTGCAATTGCAGCAGATTGCAGATTCATCTATTTTATGGGCCTGGATTTTGGACTTTGTGTGTAATCAAAATATTTTTGCCCGGATTTTGGATTCAGGGCAAAAATGGAAGGGCAGATTTGGTTAATAAATCATCATGGATCGGCGGATTTGCATACCCCTATTCACCCCCCTTAATAAGCCTTAAACCCCCTGTAAGGGTGGCACATAGAACGTAAATATTTGATGAGGTGCAGTGAGCTAGGGGTAAGGAAATATACTAAAATACTGTGGCCTCTTTTCATGGCCTCACAACCATCATTGAGTAAGCTTTACATTCCACTACCACTAGCTCTGTAAGCAATGATTTTGTTACAAATAGTTATGGTGAGTCCTGGGACTCATCTTGTGAAAAATCATGAGTCCCAGTCCAGAACCAATGAGTCCCAGTTTAAAAGAAAATGAGTCTGAAATTGAAAATGCTTGGGCTTGTATGCAACCAGACAGTTAATCTGAAGACAGACTCCAAACCTCTATATTACAGTATACTGAATTTAATATATAGTCCTTCCATTTTAAAGCACAAACAAGACTAAAATAGATATGCATCTTTAAACTGAACAGGCCAAGAAATCACAGAAATAGGATATTCTACCAAAAAATCTTCAAATTGAGCAAACATTCTTTGCGTCCTGCGATACACATTCATGAATAATTCATGGCATTTTGTCTTTGGGGATTTTTATACGTCAGGGACACAGGATGCAGAGGTAACTAAATCACTGTGTAAGTCCTCATAGTTGCAGGAAAATGTCATCATGCAAGGAGACATCTAAACATCATTAAAAACTATTTATTTTGATGTATTTTTTTGCAGAAATGAGATTTGTCACATAAATTATTAATAATCAACAACCAGAACTCTACTGTTAGAACAAATAAATTTGCTCTGAAATGGAAGTTGTGTCTTCTTCTCTTTCAACGGCACCAAAAAAAGATGTCTCAGGGGGTTCTTGATCATTGTCCACATAAACTAATTCAAAAGCTCCTCTCTCTTGTACTGCAGCACATGGATGCAGCTCACCATTGTGGACACTACTTGTCTCATCAATAGCACCACTACTACTGTCAATAAAAATTGCATCGTCACTACAACCAGCCACAGGATCAGTGCTCTCTAACGTGCTTTGACACTCCAAGCCATTCACTGCAATAGGTACATCTTCTGAAGGTTGTGAAAGTAATAGATTACAAGGAGACATGTCAGTTGTTCCTACAACTTCCCCAAGTGGAATTAAATGCCATTGTGTCAGTGCCTTACTGATTTGCCACTCAACACCAACATGGGTGTTGTCCTCTTGTGGTTCATTAGGATTAAGTGTTGCTAATGTATTTCTTCTGTCTTTTATCCACTCTTCAAGGTCAAACGACAGAGATTCATCAACTATTGTGTCTGACTGGCTGCATTCCAAATTTACAAACACTGCAACCAGATGTTCAATTTTCTCTTTCACCCTCGCAGAAACCATAGGCAAGTTTTTCAAAATCAGTGAAATAATTTCAGTAGAGTACACTGATGGGTTATCTAGTGTGACCTGCAATATGCTGATCCAAGAAAAATCACTTTTTGTTAACAAAGATGGGTTTATGTCTGATTGTTCTCGAAGCAAGTGTTTTACCCATGCAGCTAAAAAGTGGCAGAAGCTCACTTGAGTTGGATTATTGTGAACATCTGACAGTTCCTCCAGAAAGTGAATTATGAGAAGAAAGATAAATTTCGTAGATGATTTGTCAACAGACTTCAGTAAAGTCTTCCAGATTTTAAGAATCTCCTTTGGGACATCAGATATAAAAAAATCTGAGGAGCTGTCTTCTAATGGCCATTTTATTCCCAGTGTGTTCAGTTGTTCAATGGATGGAACCATCATTTCTTCAGAGGACAAAATGCTCAGTAGAAGAGACCTGAGGATGAAAAGACAATGTTAAGCATAACCTAAATAAAACCAAGAGAAAATTAATGTAATTAATGGCATATGTTTTCCCAAAGTTTGTGCTAAATAGATGTTGATGAAAGAAGCACTAACGTTTCCTTTGCATCTACATTATTTTACCAGTCGTGAGGCAACATGCAGTCTTCCCAACATCTCTTGAATAAACATTTTGCCATTTTTAGTAATAAGTACAAAAACTTTTTATCAAAAGCTGCCCACTAAAAACCATTTTATTGTTTTTTTTTTCAGCCCCATAAAATTTCAACCAGTAACCATTTCATCTGGCTTATAGAGTAGCCTATGTCCAGATAACAGCATTTAATCAGAAGCTCATTGTTACGAGTGCAGAGGTATATAAAGAGGTGCTGACCCAGGTGAAGTTTAAGCATGTGCAAAACTATTTTTAGCTGTGTACATGCAACTGTAATCTGCTGAACTGTAAATATGGTAGTAGGTTAGCAGCTTCAATGTTATCTTTAATAGGCATGCAGCCACATACAAAACTAAGATTTTGGTGTATATATGTGGAATAGCATGTAAAAAGAAGACTTTTGTGAGTAATTGCCATGCTCTGCAGAATTTGTGGTTGGGTGACTAAATCTTATTTTCAAGCCAGCAAAACAGATGCTTACCATAGATTACTTGTTGACACTATACTGGCTATCTCATCTGATAGTTCCTTCATTTTACTGCTGTTTTTCCCTTTCATTTGCTTCTTAGAAGCGAACATAAGGGCAACATCTCTGTATTCATTCAGCAGTTTGGAGAGTTTTTGTTCATTTTCTTCATGCGTCTTTATCTGTGCCTCCCAGTACTCCTCTTGCAGCCAGCATAAACTCACGTGCAATCCATTCTGCAGTGTTTCCATGGATGGCAAACTCGCGTGAGTTGCCTCGTGTCTTAAATCAACAAGCCAGTCAGGTAAGCCAATTTCACCTGCAATTGATTGTACTGAACGCGCAAACTTTCCTTTTTGAACTTGATCAACCATTCCATTTACGAATCTTACAATAGCCATTGCAAGAGTCAATCTGCCTTGAATTTCGTCTACAACGTTGTTTAAAGCCAGCCGAGATGAAACAAGATTTGCTGTGCATTCGATAGCAAGTGGGAGTTTACCTGCGCTGCGGCTTTTCCATGCAGCTACGCGATCTACTCCTTTTCTCTGAATTTCTGGCTCGTCAAAGTTGTACAAGGCTCTGTACACATATAGCCATTCTTCACGGTTTTGCCAGCAAACTACACGTGCCTCAGTAGCCATGTTTAATTTGCCGTTGATAAATACAGCATTAAGTGATTATAGAGCCTCAAAACATATAGAATCATAGTTTAGAAGAAATAAACTTAAAAAATGCGCAATTCAGCGCTGAAACCAAAAAACCATCTTTGAGAAGAGGATACGGCGAGCAAAAGTTTCAACGTTCAATACTGCCAGGCATTCAATACGATCGGGAGAGGAGCTAGGGCGAGTAAACTCGTGAAGGATTCTGGGCAGCTAGCTTAGTGCACATGTTCGGCCATCTTTGTTCTTGTTCTCTTTGCAGATTCGCGGTATATTTCTTCAAATAACGAGCAGTTATGGGAGACAGCGACGATGAGTATGACAGAAGACGAGCACGAGATAAATTCCGACGCGAAAGAAGTGATTATACTGATCGCAGACGCGATCGAGACGACAGGAGTTCCCGTCGAGATGATTGGTCTGACAGAAGACGGGAGCCATCTTGGGAAAATAGACGTCGCGGAGATTATCGAGAATTTGATCGAGGAAGAAGAGATAGTGCTGGTGGGAGACATCATGAAATGAGCCCACCCATGAAAAGAGTTCGAAGAGATTGGTAATTAAAGGATTATTGTCCTTAAATAAAAACTCTTCACCGTCTGGTCTTGATCAGAACGTCGAAAACCAAATAAGCAGTGAAATAATAAGTATTAGAATTGGTTGTATATTGTGGTGCGCAACTTGCCTAAATTTTGCAGCAATCTGGACAGAGAGACTCGAGAAAGCAAAAATTCTAAAGGAAAATTCTAGCAAAACCCAATTGTCTAAGATAATGAGGCCATGTGTTTGGTTTCTGGTGGGCTAGAGATCATACAAAACTTCTCTTCTCAGACCGTTTTTCAGTTTAAGCGTCATTGTTGATGCGGCAAGTCACTTAATTACAAAAGGTTAGGGGTAGTATTCCATCCAGGGGTGGACACAATGCAAGTTTTTTGACACTGTTATTGTTGTGGATAGCAAGATTCCATTCCATGAATTCCTGAAATTATCTCATCAAGAAGGTTTCATCTTTGGCCTCGGGTAATGAGGAACATAACACTTTGTACAATGTGGCCATTTTTAACTGTAAAAGAAGCAAAATAGTAATATGTTGCAGTGTACTGTTCATATGACAGTCCAATGACCAGATTCTACAGGAAACAAAAAAACAACAACAGGAACTGAAAAGTGAGAAATTGTGAGATCATTAACCCCTAAAATATGGTTTTCAACAAACTTCGGCCAAAAATTGTAGTTACATATAAATTTTTTAATATTTTTGTTGAAAGAACCCTATCAATGTCTGCGTGAAGTTTCATGTGCTAGTGTGGGAGCTAATTTTAAAGTGTAAATGTTTGACAGATCTGTTTTGGAGAACTTGTCAACTTAAGCATTTTTACATATAAAGTTTCACTTGTTAAAAAAAAGCCAGCCAATTTTCAACTTTCAGCCAAAATGTTGTCATCCAAAATTAGCAGACGTAGTCTTTGTCTGAGTGGTTCAGCCAAGCTTGCTCTATGAATGAGTGATCTATTTTGGAGAAAGGATATTGGTTTTATTAGAACTAGTTTTCATTTATTTTTTTCACTGATTCAAAACAACAAAACAAAACAGTCAGTTTGCAGCAAAGGTCCCATTTTTAAAAAGGTAAAAATTTTAAATCTGTATAACTTGATTTTTTTTATCAACTAAACCTTAGTCTGCAAAGTTTTAGTGGGGAATTGTGGGCATAGTTCCTCTACTTATTCTTAGCAGCATGTATCTCTAGTGTTGAATTGTCTTTTAAAGAAAAAACCGATGCCAAAATTATCTGTCACTTGTCCAAATTTTGAGAAAACCAAGTCATATTTTTTTGATAATTATTCTGCAACAATCCTTTCAAACTCAGAGTGATGATAGAGTCTTGTAATGTGATTTCTTTTTAATGAAATGCTTTAGAGTGACCTTTCAAAATGAATCCTCTGAGGCAGTACTGTTACGTAGTGTTATTACTTTTACTGCATTTTACAAAATGAAATTTGGAATTTTGCTGTATTTTGAATTTTATCTCTTCTGGAAGAAATGAAAATGTTTTTGTTATTATCTACAGGGATGCAGAGCCAAGTTATCATAATGCTGGTGACTACAGTGTGCCGTATGGTGGAGTACCTGCCCATCATAATACATGGCAACACCCTGATGTCCAGCAAATGCAAAATGCGCAACAGGATGCTAGACAACAACAGAGGTATGACATGGACAGCTTGTTTAGATTCCAAGATTGTTTTCAAAAAAATAAAATTAAAAGAAAGGCTAATGTATATGTTGTAGTTAATTTTTATTTTTCCTTTGTTTCAATTTCATTAGCATACATTACCATACCCAACAACAGAAGAAAAACTAAAATTAACTGAGATGAAAAATTAACTGCAACTTATATTTGGACCATGCCTAAAATATGAGTGGCTGTCCGAGTTTTCAAATCATGTAGTCAGCATCTACCAAACAGAGATGTCCTGTTATGAAAAAAATTAAACTCAAGTTTGTGGCCTAGATGCAGTATTTCGTGGTTGCTATTTCCCTGATTCCTGAGCTCTAACTATGAAAGTCCATCAAATAAATTTTCTGCAGAATTTATGGTTATTTTCTGAACAGGGATATCCTGTTTCCTGATGGAATTTTTGACTGCTGAAGCAGCTGCAACAAAAACTGGTTGAAGTTTGTTTTGTTGCAGCTTATATTTTCCTTTGAAAAGTTATAGTCTTAGGACTTATTTATAATACCAGGAAATAGTGCCTAGCCTTCCCCGGCCCAAAGGGAGGCAGTAGCCACAAAAAAGCTTATTTATTATGCATGGCAGTACCTTTTAGTTTCATATTATTTTTTTAGACCTGATGTGGATCAGCAATCACAGGCATCCCAGGGTAATCATGCCCCAGCTATGATGACATTTAAGCAGTTCTTAAATGCTCAAGATGACAACATTGGTGACGAGGAAGCGTTCAACAAATATCAAGAATACAAACTGGAGTTTAGAAAAACTCAAATGAGTGATTTTTTCCAGCAACACAAGGAAGAAGAGTGGTATGTAGTTCATGTAAATCGAGCTAAGCATGTGTCAATGGAATTTGCCATAATATGAAAGGTAAATAAAGGGGTTTATTGCGGGCGACAAGAGGAGCCCGTTCGCCCGCAATCCTAATCTCCAGGTTGTTATCAAGCATGCCTTGCATGTATGTAGCCAGTATTCGTTTGGACTTCAACTAAGAATGAATAGAATGCACAGAATTCGATTTGATCACTTGCGTTTGGAGCTTCTATCACTCGAAATCTTGACCATCTATCACATGAAACTTGCTTGACGCACAGTGTTGAAGCAAAAGCATTTGAACTTGGATCATTGTCGCCCACACTCCATAACGTTTGGTTAATACTTGGAAAATAAGAAGGGACATACAGTTAATGTTTTGTATCTTCTTCAATTACTGTTTATGATGTAGAATGTCTTAAGGGCCAATTAGTTCTTGCAGACTGCAATCACTCAAAAAGTCAAAGAACTTTAGCAGCATTTTGTGCAACTATTACCCGGTACATATACTTGGACGTGCTTCTATCTGAATGGGACAAGGGCCTAATGACTAAGGGCACTGTATCCATCAGTTTTTTGTTTCTTTGCTTGTTTGTTTAAGGTTCTGGCATTGACTCCAATCTGGAAATCAGTTTATTTTGACCCTTGCCTACGACATTCTGTCATCTACATAATTGTCGCTAGTATCTAATTCCACTGGAGCCATGTCTAAGATAAAAAATTGCTCTATTTTTTTGCAAACTTTATTAGCTTTGTTTTCACATTTAGATAAAAAGAACGGGCCTTCTTGTTTTTTTTTTTTACTCTTCACACATTCAGAGCATCACCAATCTTTTTCTGATGTAGTAGTGTTAAATAAGGATTAAAGTAATGCTCATTTTTATGTTTATTTTGCTAACTAGTTAATGGCCCTTTCCTTTCGCAGCAAGCTGTGTTGTTGTTCTGTCAGGCACATGCATGAGATAGCCAAAGCCATATCGATCGGGACCTTTATGCATCGCACTTTAACAAAACCTCGATTTCTTTTGCATGAGGCATAATGCCTAGAACTCTTTATGCTGCACAAAGCAGTTCATTAGGCAGATTGGTAGCAGGGAACAGGAGCCACGTTTAAACCCCACGGTATAGAGTGAGGTTCATATTTTGTATAATTTGACCTCAGTCAGTCTTTCTACGTGAATGCTATAAAAATAGCAAATGTTTTAATAATGAGAGAGTGAAAAGGCAGTAGTGCAAATGTATCACAGTGGAGGCCAGGCAAGACAGCGAAGATGGATGAGTAAGTCCATGCGGGTACTCGCACTATTTGTATTTTTTTAACCATCTTTCTCATCACTTTTCAAAATGACATGTTTGATTTTGTCTTATTTTTAAAGGTTTAGAACTAAATACCACCCTAAGGAATCAGCAGCTCGACAGAAGGAGTTAAAGAAGGCAATGAAAAGGCGGCTTTCAGTCTTTTTAAACCTGTTGAAGTCAGGGAGAGCTGATGCTATATCATTGGATATTGATAACTCTGATGCTATTGTGAAACTTCTGGATGCTGGTATTGTTTTTCCTTTCAAGTGATAACAAATTTAGGTCTCTATAAGGTTTGAAGTAAATTCATAGTCTACTAGCAAGGCTTGCTAGTATTAAAAATTGTTTTGTTACTAGCAAAAGTCAAGAGCCTTGTGAAGAGTGTTAAGTTATTCTCTGTGTTTATACACGCAGTGGAGTGCAAGCATGCAGCTAGCACACGCATAGGTTTACATATAATATTTTAACAAATAGACAGTGGCCGACATGAATGCTCTTTCTTTTTCTGGTACTGCTCAATTTATACATCGTTGTTACGGCTCAAATTTATACTGGAGAAATGCTTAATGGCTTTGTTAGTCTTAGAGGATATTACTTTTACTGGTAACCTTCCCCAAACCACTCACATTTTGCATAAATTTGAGCCCTGAATTTCCCCTTAAAAGAGATGCTTTTGAGAATGGTGTGACCAGTCAGACTTTCCTCAGTACTCTGTTCCACTTTCCCTTTAGTCATCTTTTAAAGTAATTTAGACATTTTCTTTGTAGTTGTTATAAAGTTAGAAGGAGGCAGTGACAGTGATCTGGCTGTACTGGAGTGTCCGCCCACTCCACCACCTGAACGAAGACGGTCATCATCTAATCCTTTGATGTCCCCAAATGGTAATGACCCTGCAGAACCTTTTGAGGAAAAGAAAGATGGAACTGTTGATGAAACAGCGCAAACCTCTCA